GCTCTTCCCCAGGAGGGGAGGAGGTAAGAGCAGCCATCGCTCCTCTCCCTCTGCCCTCCACGCCTTTTCCCAGCCCCTTCTCCAACCAGTGTCCATTAAAGGTGTAAAATCCTTCAGTAAAGAAGGTTTAAAGCCAAACTCAGCTAAATCCGATCCTGCTCTACCATCACCCTGATGCGGAGCCAGAGCTGAGGTCTCCTCTCTCTTCTCCCCCCTTCCCTTCCCATCTTTTCACAGGGGCGCCGCTTTTTGGAGACACCTCGTAAGCAAAAATTACTTCGCGACCACAAATTGACGGTGGTTTCACACCGCGCAGATGTCAGAGCGGCTTTTAATTCGGGCGCTCGACACGTGTACGGGGCAGGCATCTCTCGTGGAGGGCTGCGCGTCACGGCTGGTGTCGGAGGTAGTTCGCCAGGACCGTCGGGATCTCCAGCTCGGCGAGGGCGAGCGGGTGGCCAGCCTGCTTCAGGAGGCGTCTCAGCGCCAGCCTGGACTGAGACATCAAGGATTTGGGATGAGCTGCGTAAGGAGAGGGAGGAAAAATGGGATGGTCACCTTCAAGACACACAACCCCGCTCCCCTCCGACCCGGGCATTCTCCGAAGCAAGGGACATCGACAGACCAAAACCAAACGCCTTTGCTAGGGCTGGTTATTCAGCCACAAGTTTTGCAGCACGCGTTTCACGGGAGCTGGGCATACCGAGATGAAATCTTCCACTGTCATATGGAAAGAGGTGCAGTTTTCCTGGACACGGGCAGTACAGGAGAGCCCAAATGGAGCAGCAGAAAGGAGAGGAACGGCGAAAAGCAGCCTTTAACCCAACAGATTTCTATTAAGTAGAAAAACCAGGCTGCGGAAATCCCCGCGTGCTCCAGCCCAGCACCGACCGCAGCGAGGACCCTCACTGAGAGCAGCTTCTTCAGCAAGGAATATTCATGAAGAGCAGACGCCAAGGTGAGTCCGAGAGGGAAGGTACCACGTAAACGTACGTGGTGGCTGCACCAAGTCACAGCCCAGACCCAAAGCAAGGTAGCCTGCCTCCAGCCGCAGCCAGCAGTGGAAATGGGGCCATTTGGTGGATATTCATTACAAACAAGCCCTCCCATGACACTCTCCCCGAGAAATTCGGTTTAGGAGTTTCCTGCGGTAGCACAGGTATCCAAGCCATCGGATTTAATAATTTAATCATCAGTTACATCGGTGGTGTGCCTCTTCTCCATAACTTTGTGATGTCCCTCTCTTGCTACGTTCAGTATCGGAGACTGGGGTTTTTTGGCCTGAACACAGCAATCGTTGGGGGAGAGGGAGGAATAAGGGTTCAGAGTAAAACAGTGATAATACCCAAGAGTTTAAGACTAGAGAGACCCATGCACTCAAGAGATGCTGCAAAGGGAGTCGAAGCTTGTAGGAAAGCCTGGGTAAGGCTGTTGGGAAGCAGAGGTAAAGGGAAGGGGAACCTGAAGCAACTTGCACCCAAACGTGCAAAATTAGTGCTCGTTTCCAGCCCTGGGGCCACGCACGCAGATTACCTCTCGCCTGCAGCAGCAGCTCCAGGCCCTTGCTACGGGATGCCGTCTCGTCGACCGTGACATTGGGCAAGTAGACATTGGCTCCAAAGTCAATGAGCAGCTTGACGAACTCGCTCCTGCAGCCGTGCCTCAGGCAGGTTTCCAGCAGAGTCTTGGGCTCCTTGATCTGGGCAATCACCCTCTCCTCGGTGCAATTATAGTCAGGATCGGCGCCGTAAAGCAACAGCATCTTAAAGCACTCCAGATGCCCGTACGCGGCGGCGAGGTAGAGGGGACCAGAACAAGCCACCGAGTTGGCGGCCCACTCGGGCAACCTCGCTTGAACGTTGGTTTCCGCGCCGTGGTCCAGGAGCTGCTGCAGGATGTCCACGTTCCCGTCCCTCGCGGCGATGAGCAGCGGCGAGCAGTTGTTGTAGATGCTGCCGACGGGGCTGGCCCCCGCGTCCAGGAGGACCTTCACGCATTCCCGGTGGCCGTTGCTGACCGCCATGAAGAGCGGGGTTTGCGCCTTCACGTCCAGGCTGTCCACCTCCGCCCCGTGGGCCAAGAGGACCTTCATGCTCCTGACACGGCCCCACGTGGCGGCCAGGCGCAGCGGGGTGCTGGGTACCCCCCAGCCGCTCCTGCGGTTGATGAACCTCTTGTACCTGTCTTGGGACAAGAGGTTATCGAGGGCTTGGTAATTGTCCTCGGAGACCGCTCGGTTCAGCTCCTCGCTTTCTCCGTTGTCTTCTTCATCTTCTTTGGGCTGGAGCATGGAGAACATTTTAGTGATATCCATTAGGCTCATTTTTTTTGGTCTGTCTCCCATGTACCGCTTTCATCGTAAACGGTAAAGCCAAAGATCTACGGGACGACAAAAACACCACCGCCACACGGTTAGAACCAGCCCCCTGACACCAACACCATCTTTTTATTATTATTTTTTAATACACAATTGAAGGAAGATTCGCAAAAAAAAAAAAAAGAGACAAATAACATTGGAGTCTGATGCGGCTGATGTGCTTATTGCCCTGCCACCGCGGGTGAGGAAATCCCCACTGGTGAAGGGCTAAGGCAAAGGCGGAGGTCGCTGCTGTAGCACGTACGTGGGCCACCTCCCCTTCACACGTCGTGATCGAGAACGCGCTGAGATAATCAAAGTGTTGGAGTTCAAACGCTGCACCAGGGAGCTCACAGGCTTTTACTTTATTTTTTAAAATTATTTAATGCTGTACTGCTAGCCCCTGAGGCGGTAAAGGGTAGGAGACTACTCATGGGATCCTCGCACCTTGAGCTCAGGAAGGCTCCTGGGTGGCCACGGGCTCTTGCAAGGACTCTGCACCCCACTGCTGGACGAAGCCACCCATTTTCCCCAAACCCACGGAGGTCACCCCATCCAGCTCCTCTCTGCGGGAGCTGCTGAGTGAAGAGCACGTTGGAAAAGAGCAGGAATCAACTCTGCTTCTTATCAGCCAAGGCTTCTGGTGGGAGCCTCAGCAGCACCTGCACTTCCAAGGATTTTGGGACCCACGGAAAACTTGGAGGAGTTTTAATTTAGGAGCTGGCAGCGTTGCAAGGTTTTTACGCCCTGCCACTTGTTAAAGGGATTGGATTTCAAAATAGGAGATGCAGCGAATGCGAAGGTGGCTGGTTTGATTAAGGACTTTCAGCATCGCCCTTCCCTAAACGTCGGCGTTTGAACTCAGCAAACCCTCTCCTCTCTCCTGCCTACGCGAGCCCGAGGAGCGCGGCTGCAAGAAGGATCTGGGATTTTTATAGCGGGGGTGACGGGGTGGTGGGAGGAAGGTGAGGGGGTGCTGAGCCGACCACACCGGAGCTGGGACCGAACCCCGACACGTCTGCCAGGCGCTTGCTGCAGGATCTGGCCTCCCGGCAGCAGGGGAGAGGAATGTGATGCCCCGGCCGGCACCTGAGCAGCTGGGAAACGCCGCCCGCCGGGAAGGGCAGAGGAATTTCTCGCCACGCCGCAGCCCCGTAGCATCTCGGATTTCCTCAGGGAGAGACGGCAGGGGCAGAGCTCCGTCTCCCCAAGAGGCTCCTCTGATCCTCCCTTGGAGGAGACAAGGAGCTGCACTGAGCAATTAGCCTCTTTCTGCTAACGAGCCTGGCGGTAACGAGGCAGCCATGGGAGGCTCGCCCCACATCCGCCTGCGGTGGCAGGACGCGCGAGCTCGGAGGAGCCCCCGCGCAAGGCCACCTGCGTAGCTTCGCGTCGGGTTAAGTAGAGCAAGTTTGATGGCAGCGAGCGACGGCAAAGCTCCGCCGCGCTTCCACCTGTTATGCTAACCCGGACAATTTCTATAGGAATGTGTGAAATTATTACTGCTATTCATTAGACACGCTGATAACGCCCTCACCTACGTGGCTAATGGGGCGGGGGGTTTATTGCAGATTCGGTTCCAAAGGAAGGCCCAGTTATATTGCCAAGGGAAATAATCTGGAAAAGTAAAAAACCAGCTGTACCATTCCCTGAACACGCAAATAAACATCCCCAGAGGGACGTTACTTTGACAGCGTAAGCACTGACATGGGCAGCTCACCGATGTTCCTCAACCAGAAGAGCCCAAACCAGAGTTGCCACCTCCTGGGCTGAAGGAAGCTGTCCATGCATCCGCAGACCCCAAAACGGGGGTTATGACTGGAGCTAAAGGTGACAGAGAACACACTCATGCTTTTACAACAGGTAACCACGTTACCTTCCATTGCCCGATGCGGCATAGCTGTCGTCGTGCTGCTGCCTTACCTTTGGGAGGTAGGTGATGCTCACAGCCAGGGCGGGCGAGGCAGCGGCGGTCCCATGGCGAGTTCTCCCTCGGTTTAAACAAAAAAAGAAAAAAGGAGAGAAAGAGAGAGGATCTTGCTGTCTCGGGGACGGACGCCCGCTCTGTGCGCCCGGAACGACACAGGCTGTCAAGCTCGCAGCTGAAATGCCACCGCGGGGAGAAGGGCCAGGGCGCTGGGGCTAATTTTAGCCCCTCAGGGGTTTTATCTTACCACTTCCATTCTTGGAAAGTTCCCCCCGGATAAATATAGAGAGGGGCAGCGAGGCGGGGGGAGGCTGGGACAGGTGCTGGCGGCTGCTTGACCCATCCGAGCAGACACAGAGCGTTTGCTTCACCGATTCCTTGCAGAAATCACAGGGTAGCGGGAGTTTTTGAGTCCCCTGCCAGGGCAGCGCATTCCCTGCTGCGGCACCGGCCTCCGCGTTATCTTGGGTGCTGCCAATCACCCCATGGATCCCCTCTTAACCCCTCTCCCGACCGCCTTTTCCACTTTCAGAGCAATACAAATGGCCCTTCGCAACATCCAGAATTGTTTATTAAAGACGAGAAAGACAAAAGGCACCGAAGAGGGTCCAGATTTCGCGCCCGAGCTGCTCCGGAGGCTTCCCTCCCAGCCAGCACAAACCACTGCTTTGGCTTTGTAAAATTAAGCAGCACAGAGCAAGGCAGAAAACTTTGCAGGGGCAAACAAAACAAGTGGGAAGCAGCGCCTGGGCTGTCTTATCAAAAGCTGTCAGCCGGTAAGTGCAATCGTATTTTATCCAGTTCCCTTTAAACCTTTTCCAAACTTTTCGGTGGCGGAGCAGGCATGGGCTGACAGTTTGAAGCCGCGTTACGAGCACGGCAGTTTGAGGCAGCGTTATCAGCAGGCTAGATAGCGAGAGGGGAACCGAATTATCCAGCAGAAAAATCTCCACTGCTGCAAGAAGCAAAATCAGGGGCTCTGCAAAACATTTACGATGTCGCCGCCATCACCGCCGCGCTCACAGTTTGTCGTCACACTGTGAAAAGCATGGAGAGCAGCAAAATGTTCAGTATTGATAGGGTTTGGACTTCTGGCTTCCTCATAAATTCACTCAAAAATAGATTGTCACTTCAAAAAGCTCCATTTCCCAAAGTCAACACTACAAATGGAATTATTGAGTAGGAGAAATGGGGATAAACATCGGAGCAAAAGCGGGGAGTTCGAGGTTTATTAAGCGTCAAGAAGCTGCAACCACAACGGGGCTGCTGCAGTCAGAAAAGCCAAGCCTGGCTGGAAACCCCTTCAACAAAATGCAGAAATAAAAGCAGCAATTAAGACGACAGTGTATTATAATGGGAAAAAAAAGGGCATACAGACAACAGAATGAATACACGTTAGAAAATATGAAAGGTAGGAAACTGTAAGGGAACTTAGAGATGAAAGGAAAATCCTTGAATGGAAAATGTAACGATAAACTGCATATTCTTTTGTTGTTGCTGCCGCTGTTTAGTTGTTAAAACCACGAAAAGAAATCTTGGAAACAAGATCAGCTCTTTGGTAAGGAAGAGATTAAACCGAATACTAATGCAGCAAAAAGTACGAAGTCCTCACCGATAAACCCACCCTCAACTGGGAGAACGCAAATGGAAATACTCCTTGTGCTCCCTGAGCAGCCAAGAGACAGGTCAAACAGCGTCCTGCCCGAGCATTTAAATCAGGAGATCGGATAAGCCCCAAAGGGGAGCCCAAGGAGAGGCGACTGATAAGTCTGGCCCAGTTCAGATAAGCTTCCGAACGCTTCAAACAGCGGGGAAGGCTGCGGAGCCGGGAGAAGCCTTCACCTTCGGCCTGAGCTCCGAGCGGGAGCGGGCTGCCCCCGAGCCGCTGGCTGACCCGGCCCGTGCTCCGGGCAAAGCAGCTCCTCTGTCAGCTCTCCGTTCATTGGGGAAGAATTAAGGGCAGAAGTATATTTAATGCCAGTCAAGAAGGTTTTTTGGGAAGGTAAATCTGGCCCAACAAAGTTGCTTCCATTAAAGAGATTATAGTTATTAACGCAGCTGAAAAGAGGTAATGAGCTTTCTGATTTAACACCGCTAAGCATTCCGATTTAAAAGTTTAGCGCTAAACAGCACCAAATAAATAATTTTTCAGGGATTAAGGATTTACTAACGGTCCTCGAGGTCGGAAACGCACAGTTATTGCGCGGGGCTGCTTCCGACTCCCGCCTTTGAACTGTAAGCCGCTGCCAAACCACAGCAAAGCCTTTGAACTTGGGAGTTCCCCTCGGTGCTCACAACGCCCGCTCGCAGCTTTCGGGCACCAACGCCGGCCTGTTCTGCTGGCCGCCTTCTCGCCACCCGGCCTGGAGCTGGCTCCAGCAGCCGCGCGATTCGGGGTTAACCACAAGCGAGCACAGACACCTGCGGACCATCCCTGCCGACACTGCGCGCACCCGCACGGCGGCAGCTCCCAGGGCCCCTTCTTCGGCACTTCACAATTCGATGGGTGCACTAACATACAAAATATGTAGTTAGAACTGAAGGAAAAAATCCAGGAACTGTTTCTTGTCCTCCACGAGCTGTAATTCCTCGAGGAATTTCGGCAGCATCGGAGCCCCAGAAGTTCGGTGGTGTTGCAAGGCAGCTCCTGGCTTCCACCGCCTTCCAGGAGCCCCTTTCCTTTTAGATCCGAGGATGCGCTGGAGCCAGCGGCTGCAAACCGACGTGAGAAGATGATCGTTAAGAAGATGATCGCTCTCTACAACTGCCTGAAAGGAGGCTGGAGCCGGGGGGGTCGGTCTCTTCTCCCCAGGAACAAGCGATGGGACGAGAGGGAACGGCCTCAAGCTGCGCCAGGGGAGGTTTGGGTTGGGTATTGGGAAAAACTCCTTCCCCCAAAGGGCTGTCAGGCCCTGGCCCAGGCTGCCCGGAGCAGGGGCTGAGTCCCCGTCCCTGGGGGGATTTAAAAGCCAGGGAGATGTGGTGCTGAGGGACATGGTTTAGTGCTGGGCTTGGCAGTGCTGGGTTAACGGTTGGACTCGATGATCTTAAGGGTCTTTGC